TTTTACCAAATGCTGTTAACAGTTAACGCCAGAAATATGTCTTGTGGCGTCTATAACATAGCTGGCTTAACAGAATTTATATCCCGTTTGACTGCGTCCCCCTTTATAATATGGTACGCATTATCTTTTGATTTTATCACAGTCGTACATACAGTTTCGAAGATCTAGATTCTAGAACCTCCTTCCTTCAGCTTCGTTTATCATCATAATATTTGTATTATTATTCAGTGACCAATGTCAATATAACATACTGCGGTGCCGTCGTCGTCGTCAAGTGGGCATGGAATTATATTTTAAGAATTCTATTCATCCTCGCGCACACATATAGAGGACTTGACGCGACGTCGTCGTCCACTTTACAGCATATAAAATATAATAATAATATTATTATTGAGTGTGTATAGAGCAGCGTAGCCAGCGATGGTACCTACAGTAGTGGGTAGTCGGGTAGGTGGGTGGGTGGATAGGTATAAAACGTCAGTCACACACAGGGACCTTATGCTATGTGTGTGTGTGTGTGTGTGTGTGTGTGTGTGTGTGAGGTGGCAACAGAAAAGGTGGACGAAGCACGTAAATGGTAGCAGGAAGAAATATTATACGTGAGAGAGAGGACATGCACCTCAAAGATAAATATTTACTTAAATATTGTGCGGGTTGAGTGAGGGATCGTGGGGGGATCAACGCTTAAGATATACACCGTCCGCACTTTTGTTGTGTTCTCTTCGGTAATGTTCGGCCAAATGTGTGTTGACTTCTTCGCTTTACCATGCGCGGTGAAGAAGTAATTATCATAACCACTCGAGACGACAGAAGAATTCTCCTATCCGCCCCCCTTCGTCCAGCCTGGCGGTAAAAATAATAATATCTCTTCTTCGGGTATTTTTTGAACATTTATTATTATTATATTTCGGGTTGAAAACGGCGACCTTTCGAGTGGAACCTGTCGCGTCCCTTTTCACCTCTCCATTATATACCTTAAGTATTTCGCTAAGGGCCCACCGTTCTCTCGACTTCCCTGCTCAAGCAATCACGCAATCGACATCGTTATTCTCATCATCATCAAACTATGATTCGTTTGAACATAATATAATTTTTTTACATACATACATCTTCCGCGTATTATATCAGACGATTTGAGTTTTATAATAATATTATATTAGTATTATGTATTACATGCTCTGACATGTACATAAGGCGTTTTCACCGGGTCCGTTTTATCGATAATAATAATTGCAAACATTAAGTTATTCTTCTCGGCGTTAAAAAATAAACATTAGGTACGTACCTCTTGACAAAATATAGGCGGATCTCAGATTTCTCATGGGTCAGTTGAGTTGAAATAGTTAAATAAGAAATAATTGATTATTTTTCCTAATCTGAAGACTACTGTAATAATATGGTTTGCGCTTATTGTTGTTAAAAATAAAATAACACTTTTAATAAAATAACAACTTTTCAAGTACCTCCTTTTCCCAAAGAAATAGTGAAGTGTATTTACTTTTAATTTATTAAAAAAAATTATGTATTTAATTAACTCATTCAAATATGTACTACTAATACCATGTACTAATATATTTTATTCTTTACAGAATAGAATATATTATTTTATCCACACAAGAACCTAACGGTTGAAGGTACTCGCGGTTTATTTATTTTGCCTGGTATTGCATACTAATGAGACATTGTTCTTGAAAGTGATCTTGAAGTTTTAATTTTACCATTACCGTTTTTCCATAAACTCGCATTTGTATAATTTGTATTCACTATCGCGCTCTGTTAAACAATAAACGTTTGATTTTGGGACAATAATTGGAATACAATAACATATAATATTATGACGGTGATTCAGGTTTCTCAAATATTAAATCGCATTGCGAATACTTGAGAGAGACGAGAACATTTTCTTTGTTTTTGAGTTGCTATTTGGTTAAAGATTTTCGATTGTTTTTAACAGCCATAATAAGAGTATATTAATTGTGTTGTCAAGCGTTAATATGTGCTCATTTTTCACGTGCGAAAGTAACGAATTTAGGCTGTTTAATAAATGTACATTTAAGAAATATTTATCATATTATTCGGAGACGTGTAATTGAGTGGGATTGACAGCTCCTTGAAATTGACATTTAAACATAACTTACCTTGCCTTGTTAAAGTTTGTAAACAATATGATACATAACTAAGGAGCCTCGCTAAGACCTCCGAAAAATTATACTTCAAAGTGTATTAAAATTAACCTAAAAATAAGTTGATCTGATTTCAAATCTATGAGAGAATATTTTTCGTCTAATATTGTATATTTGGCTCGATTTTTAGTACAATTAAAATACATATACTTAACATTTCATAGTATACAATTTGTAAAGCATATATAGTTACGATATAATTAACTATTTTCAACAATGAATTTAATATATTATTATATTACAAGGTATAATTATTTGTAAATTATAAAAAAATCATAACTATATTGTTATAGTTGTTAAAAAAAATTTAATTTTTCGTGCGGTTAATTAAACTGTAACCTTTTGTGACGAAATTCTCGGAAAATACTATTTAAAATACATCCATGATAATTTAACTTAAATTTTATATTATACCTAGTAGGAAGGTTTTGAGCTGGTTCCATAGTTCTTTGTTTTATGGTATTTTGATTAACAATTAATGTTTAATGACGATCATCATAACGATAGAAAGACAGAGGAAACTTAGAAATTCTCCTAAAATACAAATTTGAATTATAAGTTTATTCACTATATTTTTTTTCCTGTCATTTACACAATTTATAAGTAATCAATAATATATTATTAGTATTCATAATATATTTGTATTGCGAGGTTGTATGTATTGTTTTTGGGCTCTTGTGCCTGTATTGTAATAAATAATTAAACGAGGTAACTAATTTAACTTAACTTTAATTATTATCAATTTATTCAACACATAAATCATGAATGTTACATTGATACATGTATAATAATATTATATTGTTATGATATATTGTCGTCCGCCTGTCAGGATCAGGACTTAGGACCGCCAATATTTTTTAATGTCCAATGATGGTCTTAGCGATAAACGGATATAAAATGCAATAAAAGACTATATTTTACTGGCGTTTAAACGGTTTTTAATGACCGTGGTAGCCACCTGTTAGGCTTACCGGTAGATGACGTTCGATTACAGACCACAAGCTTCTCAACGACAACGATTTAACTCGGTTAAGAGGAAACAATACCAGACAAAATGTCGTGCCTTGACGGACGGTCCGTTAAAAAAAAAAACGGTGATCAAAACGTTGAAAATTGTTTATTATTATTACATATTTTTTTTACTCGTTTGGACCAACGTTAAATGAGACGTCTGAAAAAAAAAAACACTTTGATTACCTTCGAGGGATATATTGTGTTTCCGTATGTCGTATACGATACAGGTACACCAAAGGCGCTGGTCGTCAAGACACGGTAGTATATCTGTAGTAGTAGCAGCAGTTCGGGTTGTTGTTAATAATGATGACCGGTTGTTATCTGAGGAAATGAAAAAAAAAAAAAAAACAAAAAAACAAATATTAAGACGTTATACCGCGCACCAACGTAATAAAGTGGTTATTATTATTATTTCCGAGGTTTAACTCGATAATTATTATTAGGATATTATTGTATTTTTATTATGACCGTTTGAAATCTCTCTAATCTTTCCAGAAAGAGATACGCGCGGCTCACTGTGTATGTGTATACTGTGTAATGACTTCTTTTGTCTTGTACCTACTTCGAAATCCAGACATTAACCGACTCGTTTTGTAACGTGAAAGTATCGCGCTTTCGTTTATCGTTGGCCTGTACCGGCCTGTTTTCCGCTTTAGAAGTATTAAAACGAAATTTTTTAAAAAGGAACCACCAGTGTAATACGTTTTGTTTTTCTCATTCGTCTATTTTCAATAGTTAAGGCCTCGGACACAATATTATGTATAGGGGACGCCGGACTGGCTTTTTCGGCTTTCGGTTTTGGACACAATCTTAAACAGTTGATAAAGTTTTAACATTTATATATTTATAAATAAAAAATAACGATAAGAAGGTACAGCAGTCGGGGTTATCACCTTTCCTGGCTGAAGTTTTGATGCGAGTAGGATTGCAATAAATAAATAGTTCGACTAATTTTTAAGATTTAAACGTACGTTATTAATACCTGTATTTTATTTACCAATAAAACTGATAAAAAAATACTTACTGTTGTCCTAGAAACTTAACTGGGTCGTCTTCAAAACCTTTACTTGTACATTTTTAAATTGTCGGTGTGGCCGATACAGCTTTACATGGACTGAAACTTTTTTTACAAATAGTCAAATTAGTTCCAAATGTATATGGAATATGCTTTAGATTGAGAACGACCAATTTACCGTGACAAACCGAAAAAAAACATCATAAACGAGGATAAAACTTTTCACTTAGAAGAGGTGGAAACTTCATTTATCTCAATTCTTCAAGCGCAGTTTCAATGCTTATATTCTGAAAATTATACTGTAGATCAACAATGTGGCTAAAACATTTACAATTTTTCCAAAAATCTGTAGTTAACAATTTTTTTATTATTGAAGATAACTCAAAATAGACATGGGCATGAAAGTTTTTATACTTTCATAGGTAAGAACACTTAGAAAAGATACAGATCTTCCAGCTCTAAATTATTTTACTTAGGCTCAAATAACATTTTATATACCAACAATTACAAGTACTTATTACTTTGATAAAAAAAAATGTTTACTATAAAAAGTTCTCGATATTGTTGGATATTCATGTATCAATTTTGATATACATTTTGATATTGATACATGCATCTTGTATATGTATAAAAAAAAGTACCAACGTCCATCTCCGAGTGTAATTACTTATTTAAGGGCTGCAACAGTTTTTTACCAATGGAATGTTCGTCCCGTTTCACGTGTACTTTGATTACTGGTGTTGTTTAACGGTAATTAATTTGAAATTTTTTTTTTTTTTTTACTACAGGGAAGGATGGGTTATACTAGATCCGGCGGAAACGGCATGGACCAGCGAGGATGGCAAGACTTGGCGGCGTGTAGTCCTATGTTGGCTTTTCCCGGTGAAGGTCAACATCAACACTACGCCCAACATCCGTCCACGCTCAATTATCCCGGATCCAGCATGTACCATCCAAACTCATCAGGAAACGTGCTGCTCCAGAACGTCAGCTTGTGCGCACCACCTCCGCCGCCACCACCGACAACCACCACCGATATGAGTCACGCCTCGTCGTCATTGCACCCCATTTCCCATTACCATCATCATTCTTCGTCGCTCGGTAAGTGTACTCGTTTTGATTCTCTCTCTGGGCCGTTCTTGACACTTTTGTTTGGTTTTACCGTCCCTGTGCAGGTGTCTCGCCCAACTGTAATCTCAGCTCGGCCGTAGCTACATCCCTTCACTTAGCCGGCAGCTCCTCGGAACAACCGGCTTCGTTCAAAACCGAACCGCCGCAACACCAACACGAAATGATGTTCCCTTACCACCAGGTAAGTTTTTCGAATTCCACTGGCGGACCGCTGCTAACCGTTTGCACTTTTTTTTATACTTCCAGAACCACAATAGCGAAATGGCAGCACCGTCATCCGACGGTCTCCTGTCGTCCATTTTAAACGACGACGACTTGCAGCTGATGGACCCGGCTATGGCGCCAGACGGTATGAATACTATTATTGTTTAAACGTAAAACATGTTATTGCTGTGTTGTAACCCCTACAAAATCAACACGAAATAAGTGGAGCGAACAATGTTAGTTATAACCGATAATATGTGTATAACCTTGAATGAGATATTAATTGGTTGATGAGGGGGAATCAGCCGATAAGAAAAACGACAGTGATATAAATGACTATCGTTGAAGACTTCCTCACGAATGTAGATGGAATGATTGAGTTACGACTTAGGTATCCATATCATTCAAGCGGCTGGTAGGGCTACGATGAGATGCATACAACACAGTTGAAGGGTTTGCTGCAAAAAAGAGGTAGCTCCATTCTGGGGGAGTTTAGTGTTATCTATCTTTCGTTTTTTTATTGAAAACCGTTGACAAAACCGCTTGAGCATTTTAGGCAAAGCGATTTAATTTTTCCAAACCATATCGACGTTATAGTTGATAGATAACGGTTAGATAGGTTAGAATACCAGTAGTCCTTTAACAAGTAGTGACATACTTTCTCTTTTTAATGCAAACTTTATCAGATAAATATAAAGATAATAAACAATGGATTGAAGTGATATGGATAAGCCACTCCTATAACAAAAACGTTTTAGACCGCGGCCCTGAAGGAGATAAAAGAATGGTAGTTCAATCTTTAACATGGAATGAATACTACGACCTCTAATCCTATCTTTTAAACGCCGTTAATTATGAATGGCCAATCTGTTTCTATTATCTAATAACATAATTAATATTATTATTATTTTGTATTTATTAATAAGATTACTATTTGGGGGGCGGTAGTGTTTTTTTTATAAATAAATATCGTTTTTAAACCTAGTATTTTAGGTCTGTGTATTGCATGCGCCCCGAAACTTTAGGAAAGCTGTGTGTCTAATCCCACAATCTATAAAACCTATAAAAAAAATATATTGAAAATCTAAACATATTTTCAAACCTAAATATTTCGGTAGCATATTGGCCCCCAGTCCGGCGGCTTGCATTGACATTTTCGAAAAATAGGGTTGTCGATACTCGACGGGGATCGACTGCAAAGTGTAGTCAATTTTTTTAATGGTATTCAGTAGTTTTCAGAAGTTTTCTAACAAACTGTGCTTGTGTTTGTTCTCAGGCAACATGTACCCAGTGCGGATGATGGACAGTGCAAGTTCGGTGGCTTGCAACAATACCATGAACATGGTTCAGAACAGCAACGCCGGCGGCGATTCCGACAGCGCTGTAAGCTCGATGGGTTCCGAAAGAGTGCCGTCACTGTCGTCGGACACTGAATGGATGGAAACCAACTCGGACAGCGGCCACAACGACGGGTATCCGTCACATTCACACCAAGAATACGGGTAACTATTATAAAGAAAATTGGAATACTTATTTTTCATTATCATACATTATATGATGTTTTGGTTTTGTTTTTGTCCGCATAGAAAAATGAGGTGGTTGGACAATTACCTGTACTCGGGCGGCGCTCGAGGACACTCGTCGGCTCCCCAAAAGAAATATCAGTTGTACGGAAGGCGTTTAGTCGATCCCGCCGCGGGTGAGAACTTGTACTATGTCTACATGTATTATACAGTTGTTTACTTACGGTTTTTTTTTTTTTGTTATCCTGTTTATTTCACATGCAGGAACTTCGAACGGCTCTGAATCGGCGAGACAAAACCACGCCGGAGGTATGGTGGCCGATCCGCTGACCTTACCGTACGACATGTCCGTAAGAGACGGAATTCCCGTGCCGGGCGCTTCCCAGTTCACCAGGCACATGGCCGGTAAGGAAATCGAAATTCAGTTGGCTTTTTATTGTTTGCAAACCGCGTCGTGTATTGTTGTTATTAGAACCTGACTTGATCGATAATTTTCATAGGTTGCTCCCGAGTGTTGACGCCCGAACATCAAGTAGCGCTTAATCACACATACGCCATGCCGCCCGAAGGTCTGCCGAGGACTCCTCGCACCAAACTCAAGAGCAGTTGTAAGAGGTCTGAGGAAGAACAGCTGACCAGAGACGAGAAACGCGCCCGGAACCTCAACATCCCCATCACCGTCGACGACATTATAAATCTGCCCATGGACGAATTCAACGAGAGACTGTCCAAATACGATCTGTCCGAAAGCCAACTGACGTTGATCAGAGACATCAGACGTCGCGGCAAAAATAAGGTAAACTAACCCATTGGCAGACTTGGAGGTTTTTCTTCGAAAATTACCAATTGTACACATTTTCTTCTTCGTTATTGGTTTTATACCATATTTGTTTTGTACTTTATTTCTGTTAAGACATTTCGTTTATTAATATTGTATTTTTACAAGACTTAAAAATAGTGAAATCTACCTTTTTTTGTAAACCAAAATAATTAAAATCCCATCGCCAATTATAAATTAGTAATTTACTGTAATAAACTGAAATAAATACAATTACGCTGTTAACGGCCATAATTGTTATAAACTAATATTAACCGGTGTGATATTTTAGGTGGCAGCCCAGAACTGTCGAAAACGCAAACTAGATCAGATACTCAGTTTGGCCGACGAAGTAAAACAGATGAAAGATAGAAAGTTCAATTTGTTGCAAGAACGTGAATATTTAATGACCGAACGGATGAGAGTCAAAACGAAATACGATTTATTGTACAACCACATATTTGCTGTAAGTCATAACGGAAGAATAATATTGGCACTTTACGCTAACTCGTTTCGATACTTAATTATTCGTAATGGGAAAACATAAATTTCGTTAGCATAAAAGTGTGCTATAAAACAATAAAATTGTCAAATTAACTAATACTTGAATGTTTATTTTTTTGTATAGAGCTTAAGAGATCCAGACGGCAACCCGTACTCACCATACACACACACGTTGCGCGAACAGCCTGACGGAAGTGTTAGTATTGTGCCCAGAAATAATGGAACTCAGACTGACCGTAATCCTCGGCCCAAGCAGCACAAGGACAAATAGTTGTTGTCCGTTGTGGTGAACTGCTTATAATTAAGAAAAATTTATTTTTTGTTAAATGCTGTGATATGAAATTATGGACGGTCGTGTCCGCCTCAAAATTATCAGGGAGCCGCGTGTACTTAATAATTTTGCTCAATTGATTGCAACTAATTTTTATTTTGAATTTCTCATCCCAAAGACATCGCAGTTTAAATGAATTCTCCTTGATAACACCTTTATTAATTTATTTTTAAATTAGCTATTACTTTTTTTTATTATAAAAAAAAAAATTTGAAAAAAAAAAACAATTTTAAATTTATGAGAAATCTTGACGATTTGGTTTTTTGTACATTTTGTCTACTATTTTATATTTTATTTGACTCGCGTAAAAAAAAAAAATAATAATAATACTATTATTCACAGATCAAATTAATTCTGCTCAATGCGTTGTCATTTAAACATTTTTTTTAAATCTCATAAGTTATTTATTTGTAATTTTTATTCTCTTTTATAACAAGTTCTATAATTTTTCTTAATAATAGGGAAACGGATGGTATTTGGTTGAATTCAAAAATTCATACTAATTTATTATTATTATTTTAACTTGGTGATTTTATAAATAATTTATTGTATACTAGTTTTTTCTTTCTTTTTCTCACTCTCTTTAACCATAAATGTATTGACAAATTTATATTTCATTGCGTTTTTGGTTTATTAATATTGTAAAAAAAATTATATATATATGGTAAATATCTAAATTAATATATTATACATAGCTTAATGAAGAAGGTTATTAATCAATTTCAAAAGATCGACAGTTTAATTGGTTATTTTGTAATTTTTTTTTTTTTTCGGTGACTATTAGGTTGGTGTTTATATATATTGTAATATTATTTATTTTGTGACAAATATGAAAAAAAAAAATGTATAATGTTTTGTATATTATTATTTACTTGTATTACTTAAAGTTTAGTTGTATTAACAATGTTTCAGTAATATCATTCTTTTTTTTTTTTTTATTGTTTTTTCCGTCTTTTTTGTTTAATGCTATGAACTAATCAAATTTTTTACAGTACAGTTTTAAACCACTATTTAATTTTTTGTGTACACTGATATCAACTCCATATACTCTAAAACAATGGTATTATGTGTAGACTTAATAATAATTACAGTATTATAAGATTATTTTAATCACTTTTATTTTTATTTTTTACAACATATACTTACGCTTATTAAAGTTTAACTTAAAAGTATTCATACAACCATGTAACCAAACAAAATACATTGTAGTTTGTATGGCCGAATTTAGGTGAAAAATAAATGAATACAGTATGACAGCAGTAAACATAAGCGTAGAAAAAGTGTCTTTTTAACAGAAGTTTAAATTCAGTTCTCATGTTGTTAATAAGCAATTGGCATGTTCCTTGAATCTAGTAAATCTAGTATGCCAGTAAAACACAATATATGAGTAATATGAATATCTTATTGGAGAATGGAAATAAAAAACATTTGAAATGTTGTGAAAATAAAGTAAACTGGTCTGCTAAACACGAAACGTTTTTTAAAATTTAAATAATGCAAAAACCATCGTCTTTTTGCATAAGAAAAATGTGATAATTTTTTTTTCAGGTTAGTTTTGTGTATTTTTTTATAAGCTTATCGAACTTATTTCCTTTTTTAAATAAAATTTGTGAGATAATTTGATGGAACAGAAAATAAAAGCGTTTCAACAGATTACAAATGGTTTTTTTTATCAAACAATACATCCCTGAACAAAAAAAAAATAAGTAATTGATAGTAGAAGTATTATTGATACTTAAATATAATCATAACCAATTGAAAATTAGTTATAAATTCTAATAGCGTATTTTTTAGTTTTTAAAATGTTGACTGGCTTTTTTACTATACATACTTGTTGGTCTCACTCTACAATGTTTTGCTATCATAAAAAACCATTTTCATCAAAATCTACTACACATTTTACATAAAAAAAATACTAAAAAGATAATGGTGAAAAAAATAAGAAAACAACAAGAAAGTGGTCCATCTTTCAGAGAAATTAAACTAGCACGAAAGTCCAAAGGTTAGGTTAAATTTATTTAGACCAAGTTGGACATTTTCCGAAAAAAAAATAATACAGTATAACCTCGACATGTCGTAATAACGCGTAATTAATTATTAGAATAACAATTTATTAGAAACTACGTGTAATAATAAAATTTTATTAATTTATAATAAAAATATGTTTGAATCTTTTTTTTGTGATTAAGGTATTCAAATAAAAATAATACTCTGGGGTAATCTGTAATGCTATTACTTAATTGAAATGTATTTATTATTGGTGTCGGAAACGAGTAATTTATTAAGTCGTTAAGTAATATCGCTATGCGTGCATTTTTACATTTTATTTTTATGTAAATTCACATGTCGAAATAGTAAATTTTTAATTGTTTTCCCTGTAATATGTTGACTTATTGTAATAGGGACCTGTGACCTTTCTGTTTGCGCAGTTCCTCAATAAACGAGTAATAAGGGGAATTGATTCGTATCGACAAAGGTCACGCTTTTATGTTATTCAACGAATACAACTGCTCGTCACAAAAAGCAATTTACCAAATCGGTCAGTTTTTAGGGACCCTGCAGTACATACTCAAAGGTTACAAGTTACATTGCAAAAAGACATGTTTGAATATAATAAATAACATAACAAAATTTATTACACAAAAAGTAATACATTACAATATAAAATAAATTATTCGCTTTGGCTAGTTTTGGTGTTATTGAATAAATCAATAACCTTTTACAAACAGTGTTATGTAAAACAATAAAATAATATTATATAATAACAATACATATAAATAACATATATTTATATGTATAATAAAATAAATAATAATAGGTAAAAATACCTCATATTTTTTAGGTGCGGAATCTGATGTATAAAAAAGTAAGACGTTTTTAACGCCCCGTTTGATTACGTTTGTAAATTATAAGTTCAAATAAATAATAATAATAACAAAAAAAATACTAGAATTCCAAAAATACAAAATATAAATATTATATTGTATTATGTGTTTGTTTGCTTTAGTATTAATTTATTACAAATAATAATGTTTCAATAATGATAAAAAAACGCGTAGTCGGATCGGTTAGGAGGTTAGGACTTAGGTCATCGTGCGGTTTCGGCTTTTACCTATAATGACTGGCACAATCATTCATCTTTGGTACGTGGTGGGCTCGGTCGAAATCATGAGTAGATGGTCATCAGGATCAACTGTTCAAAGAGAAACGACAAAACGATTACAACATTGTATTATTGTATCTACGTCGGAAAATATCGATTCTAAAAAAAGATTCTAAATAACTCGCCTCTTCCAACGACAAAGGATTTCCCTTGCTCATTTTCGTGTCCAAACTGTGATACCTCTCTGTAAGAAAAACCGCGCGGATAAATACAATGTTATTACATACACATGGACGGGACCTATAACATTGTGTTCAATTTATAGATGTCGTCGCTCACCGTGGGCCAAATGCAACCTGACCATGGCCATAATGAAGCACTCGGAACTCAGTATCTGGTTTTTGGCGAACCGCAGTACCAGACATTCGAGCACTTTGTTGCTGACCGTGCTGCCGGCTTCCCACAGCAGTGGTCTCAAGTTGTAGCTCGACGTTTTGTTGGGGTTAACACCTTTTTCAAACTTTTGAAAGGCGATCTGTCGGCGCAATAAAACTCAATATTAGTGTCTGGCTACATATTAATGAGCCCGGACCTAGGTAAGTCTGTACTTACCTTCCAAAACTGTAGCATGTGCATTAGCACGGGAATATCCAACATATTTATGCGACCGCTTATGTTGATGTCTCTCAACATAATCAGACTTTTGCACAATTCCAGACTGGGCTTTTCGGCCAGATACGCTTTCCAGTGGGCTCGCAGTATCTTCTGGAGCTGCACCACGTCTACTTCCGGCGGGTATTTGATCATCAGCTTGTTCAGCAGCGGTCGACCGTCGGGCTGTAATATATTAAAATTGTAACTAGGTTAAGTACACGTTTAACGCTCAAGTAAACTCTACTAGCGTGACGATAAAAAAGACTCATAAACACAAAAAAAAAAAACAGGAGTTGGAGAGGATTTGCACTTACCAATATGACAGTGTCTTCCAAAAATTCAGCCGAAATGTTTTTGAACACCATGTTGTCGTCGTTTACTTCCCTGGAACGAGATTAACAAAAATAATGATAACGGAAGAACTCTACCTATACTATATTGATGAGGGGTTTCTTAGGCAATCCCTAATTAAGTGTTATGTAACACGTGTTATATTATAATCTTTAAACTTCATTTCAATAGAAGATAGTGCCGTTTAAAATCTAGGAGTGTTCGTTTATTACACACATATTATCAGTTTAAACTTTGAATTTCAAAATCATAATTTCGGAATTTCGGACTGGATTTCACTTATTGTTAGTGCTTAAATTTCGAGTACGTATGATATGAATTTACCATATGTTACTCTGCTCGTCCGTGAGGATTCGCAGGAGGAATTTTGCGTCACAGTTTGGCACATTGGTCTGCGGAACGACAATGTAGTCACCGGGCGGCAGCGTGAAGAACGTCACCACTTCCCTGGCAACCGAGTGGTTGGTCACGTCCAAAGGTTGCTGTAAACGAATAAACCACCGTCGTCTATTGTATACTCATTGTATTTATTTACTGGAGTAAGTAAACACGGAAATAAGTTCCAGCAGCTATTATCAAGCTTTTGAAATTCGGTTACGAACCTGTTGCGTGACGAAATGCGGAGTCAGCCTGGACGTGGAGTGCGGCACTTCGTAGACGGCAAATCCGATGGCGTAAAGGGGTCTTGCACCCTTGGCTTCAGGGTCGGTCTCGTATTGCTGTATGACGGACACCACCACGTGGCACTTGTTGCCCGAAGTCCTAGGTATACCTATGTGGAACTGAGGGTTCATAGCCGTCGTCTCTGGATATCCGGGACCACCGCCGGCATTGTAACCGCTCCGCCATCTCCGCCTGGCCAGAACGGCACGCCAAGGTTGCTTGGAATGCAAAGCCGGTTCGGTCATCCAATCGTCCGGGCTTATGTGCACGATGTCCAACTGCGTGAAATGCCGGGCAAAGTCCTCGAACGACATCCTTTTTCGAAAGATTTTAATTAAAATTAAAAAAATAGCACAACGAAAGACGATTTTACAGACGACTAGATGGCTGGTGAACCAATGACCGATATTTCGGTGAATCTGACTAGTGCTTACAAACTCATATGCTAATAAAAAAACAGAAATCGCATTGAAGGCGAAAAGTCGCAAACCCTTCGATCAAAGGTTCGTCAATGATGTATTCTTTCACCGAGAAAATCTTCACCGAAACCATGATGATTTCTTACGCAGAGATGAACATAAATGAGATAAAGATCAAAGCGCAGCTCAATTTTCAAAAGATAAAGCGATATCTCAGATTAGATTGATCTACTACTATTGACCTACTTAGTATTTATCCATAATCGATAGGACCATTATAGATTTAGAGACGGTTGAAGTGTGGTTGAATGCGCGTGGCAAAGGATAAACTGGATAGATAGAATCAGGAGACTGAAAACCAAAGAAGACGAAGTGACTCCTGTCTAACTTCTCAGGATGCGCACGATAGGTTAAAACTGTGCTCGTCATAATAATAGGTTCATTGCAGTAAGTACCCTTACCAAAATTCGCCGTCGTTGCGTACCCGCACGCTGAGTAGTTCCTTATCTCTGTGTGATAGTCCATCCCATTCCCAGCTGCGTTCACTCCAAGGACCTGTCCACTCGCCTTCGCCCCAAGGATTCCTCAGTCTCACCAACGGGGTGTCACCTAGCGGACCCCGGACCCGCGCCAAACCCGTCACGCTATAAGCGTGCTGGGTCATCAACCCGTTTCGCAGTCTCAGTTGTCTCTTGTTCTCTTTCTGTAAAAATCCATATACATATGAAAATATTAATAAATAATAACACACGCAATAGGTAGCCAACTAGTTTAAATAAATTCTGGCTTTACTTTTGATGTATTTAATGATACGTGCAGTGTTTAAATATATTCATTTTTATATATTTTGATTTTTTTTTTAAAGCTACTAGTCCTTGCTCTAGTAATTAATTGTTTTTCTTACCAGAGTTATAGTTGATATAAGCAATGACGACCTGGGCACGGCACTGTTCAACACCTGGTAGGTCAGAAACCGGTCTTGGTTAGACAAACCGAAGCTTTGAACGATTCCTCCGGTCAAATCCTGCAGGGCTCTAGTGGTCGAGCAGCCCGGTCCGCTTAGGTTTTCATAACAACCATACAGCCTATACAATTACAAGTATTTATTTTACCTGCTTTAAGTATTCGGCGCAATCTATATAAAAACATACTTGGCGTACGCTTTTTCGAGGAGCGCGACCCAGAATTCGGTGGGGTTGGTGGAATGCATGTAGATCAGACGTCCTCTGTACGTGGGCAGCTTGTCGTCGACCAATACTTCTTTCCACTCGCCAAAGTACCAGAATCGAAACCTGCCACAAAAAACAGGAACGGTTATAATATTATCTATACCTAGTTTCCAAAAAAGCCAATAAATTTATTAATTATATAAATCGTTACAATATTTGTTTCTGCTTATCAAGTATTAATATTTTTATTACTTTTAAATGCCTTTATTATTCTCTTGTTGGACTACATCTTTAGTAACAAGCTTGGGAACAAGGACTATAGTCAATATGCCATCGTAAGCAGATTGAAGAAATATAAAATATAACTTTTAGTTTTATTTCCTATAAATGTAATGTTTTTAGATTATCACACTTTGGTTATAAATATATTCTTTAATTATTAAATTTAAAACCAGAGACAGGAGTCAGGAGGTAATATTCTTTATTACGTTTCGTAGTAAGCTTATTAATTGATAGTAATGATTCCTTTCTACTTAACCTCATATCCTTCAAAATAAGACATCATAATACGCAAAACAAAGATATTATTTACATTCCTCAATATTCTAAACATTTACCTAGCTATTTTGCAGTCCCCATTCATACCTTATGTAATGACAATTAATTTATATAGCATTTGTTTTTATTTTTTCCCTATTTTTCTTACTATTGCAAATGTACATACATGCAAATTTGTTTGGTGTTTTTTAATATAATCTTAGATTGAATTATCATTAAATCATAAGATTCTTTTGCTTATGTAATTGTAGATATACTGTATCTATCATTGTTATTAATGAATAAAGTATTGTAATTCGGATTAACGTCCGTTATTATTGTTAAATAAAAAAATAAATAAAAATAAACTACATCGTGTGTAATCATCGAGTTTAGTATATCACATAAACATTTTTTGTGAACCACAAAATTAGTATGTTATTGTGTGAACAAATCATAGAGATAACTTTAGCAGAATGATTTGATTAATACTGTAATACTGGTACCTATTACAATAAAAATATTCGGAAATAGATGATCAAGTTATTATGACCACTTTCTACTAACTCACATAATAGTAATGTACCTATAGGCTGTCCTATGGCGATAAGTGATGAAGCAAAGAACCATGACCATGAGGCAATAAAACAATGACTTTTTAGAGTTCAAATAATACAAATTAACCAATGGACAATGGTGTCGTTGTTTGACTAAAATGTTGTTTGCTATTATCTCTACGTCGGCGCCTTGATCATCCAAAATGATAATCCAGGACGGTCGTAAAAGAGAATTGTAGTTTACATAAAATATATACTATAATACTAAATGTCGTATTGTCCGTCTAAGTGTTTCCCTAAGAGGTATCTATACCATACGTTGTAAATGATAAAATAAAACAATTTTAACCAAGATGATGAATAAGCGTCCGCTGTACTTTTATGTGTATTGTTTAATCGGTGGTATCATATGTTTTTGTCTCGATATAGAGCTCCTAATCGTTTATTATTTATCTAGCGGTTCCGGTCAGTAGATGACCGGTTTTGATTACTGTTATTTTTTAGTTATACAATTATTTGCTTAACGATTTGCTGCTATTGAGTGCACAAGATATAAAAGAGAGTATTCATAGTCCGCTGTTAATCATTTGGTCAGGAAAGTCTGTATAGTATATAACCTGCAGAAATTCATCAGCTTGGGTCAGCTATGGCTAATACGTACAGCTTGCTAGTTTACACAAGTTGTAATTCAAGATTTAAGATTCACGTTTGATTAATTTATTAGAAAATAATGTTTTTTTAGAATATACTTTACACATTAAATATCACATCAAATAAATTTGCTTGTTACACAAGCCTATTTTGTTTTCATAGAATTGTTAATAAAGATTTTTAATACCGTACTTAAAACTTTAAAAATAGAAAAACAAAATGATTAAAATACGGATTTGTAAAGTACGAAGGCGCTTCCCAAATTCCTCATTTAAGTGGCTAACTGATAGTATTTTTTTAAGTAGGTAAATCGTAATTTATAACATATAAAGCAAATTAAATGATTCTTTGAGACAATGTATACTAAAATATGATAGTTGAATGAATGCCATATAAAATAATACCGGATCTTTTACGGTTAATCAGATTAAACTTTTCCGTTGAAACGTCAAATAGAATCAAATATAATTCAAAAGAATAATTGCTTTGTTTCGTATTAAGTATATAATATTCTTTTTATGTACTGCGCAGATTACTATTATAAATAGTGGTATTAAATGTTATATAATAACGAGTATTAGCCAATGTCCTTTTCAGATTCGATGGAAACCCAAACCGAGTAGGAATTAATAACCATAATAAGTTCTCCAAACACTATTTCGGTAGAAATGCTATTAAATACGACTTGATTAAACGGTATTAAACAACACTTAAGACAGTTGTACGTACCTATATTCTACAAAACGATTTTGTACAATCTCAGAACGTGGCAGCGGTGATACCGTGCAAAACCATTTTGGAATTATTATTGGTAATATTAGTGTACTTGTGCGTTTTGTTGTATTGTCTTTATCAATGAGTATGATTGTTGAAATAATTATAAAAATTAAACACAGGTTTAATCAATATTAATCAGTGATCGTTATTTTGATATCATCTTGTTTAGTATAAGAACGACATATCGACAGGAGAAAAAGAAGAAGATTACAACCCATTATAATAGTTACTATTAACATCATTATTATTGATAGACTCAGGGTCGGATTTGACGGAGCCCATTAAAGGCACCTACCTACCTCGAAACCCACATTTTTTAGGAGACCCCGAGTCCAAGATATAAATAACTGTAATTTCAGCCCTAGGTCTATATTCAAGACGATTTAAAGCGGACGATTTTCAAGGGATTTTATATATAGGCAATATATAAAATCCCTTATATAAGAATAAAATGGTTTTAATAAATTTCGACCACGTAAATTTATTTTCAGGATAATTAGTATAAGGTTCAGTATAACTTTAAATGTATACAATTCTTTCTACGAGTAAAGCCATTTTGTTCTTACGAGAAAACCAATTTAGACCTAAGAGCCTGACAAAATTACGCCTACTTAGAATGATCGGATTTTAGTTCTGTAAAAATATTTAAGCTAGTCGACGACCTCTTTCCCCGGTTGTTTTGGAAGTATAAATGCTATTTCGTATAACAAAATAGTCGACGATGTATACCTAATAATGTTTTATCTTTAATTAAACGATTTTGTAGAGTTAATACGTTAGAAAATTCACTACATTTTAAACATTTGTATTACTACTTTTGCGTACTGACCAGTAAAGATATTGTCATTGATAAACCAACAGATTTAGGTATGTTATATTATTCGGGAGTTTATATTTTGTGTTTGGCATGAGAAATAAACGTTTTTGAAAATTGAAAGTAAAACAATAATACATAATATATTAAATGTATGTATAATAATAATAATAATACATAACGCGTTTAACGTTCATATCGTGAAACACGATGCGAACGCGTTATGTCAGCTGAGAAAAACACGAACGACTAATTTCCATCAATGCGATCATTGCGGGCGGGGTTGTTCTATTTCCTGAACTAGCACGAATGCATTACAGCATTGTTGCATAAGTTAATTAAAGCGGTCACGTGAAACATCCGTGTCATACGCATAAGTTTATATAAATAATGAAAAGGCTGAGTGGACCAAATCAGCGAGGTTAAATCGCAAATAGACACAAATAGAAAAAATATATATATATATTACCCATTTACAAAAGCTTTTGTATTGCCTACGTAAAATTATTGTCATTTAGTTTAAACGTTACCAAACACTATAAGTATATAAGAAATATGGTTATTTAAGTCTCCTATGTGCTAGAACGTACTTAAAGGATGGGGCAAGTGGGTTTTTGGCTCAGGGATCACATTTTAATGGCTTTTTTAAAACAATTTTATACAAAAATCTCTCAATTATACAATTTTAAAGATTTTATTGTTGCCAAATTACAAAGTAGAGTAAGTAGATAAAGTAGTATAATTAGTAATTACTAAATATAGTAATAATAAAATTAACATAAATTTTAGTTCTATTAATGTGATTCAGTGGTGATTTTTTGCTACTATTACTTTAGTAACGTTTGCCTTTGTATTCTTCTCCAATTTCAATTTTTCTTATTATTTATCATAATAAATTGTATTCACTTTAGGCACCACTCAGGTTAGGTAATATTATATTATATGTTTTGTAAAGTTTTACTGCTCTTAACTTAGTTCTGTATTTTTTAAGATACAATCATTTTATAAATATCTTTCCACGGCCAACCTAAAAAGTATTTATATTTTAAATTATTTTTGTTATTTAAAAATTAGCACTTGCCAAGTTAAGAGTTAAAAGACTAGTCAAAACTATATTTTGCTATGAAATTATTGCTTATAAAGGAATATAATCAAAATTATAAGTGCAAAATGTAAGTACATAAGGGAAAGAGACTTTTCAAACTTTATTAATTACTCTCAAAATTCTATAAAATCCAATCCAAAACAATTCTGGACGTTCCTTAAACATAAAAAACTAAATCACGATTTACCTAACTATATGCGCCTAAATGATACTTCGGCTAGCAACGGTCAAGACATTATTGATTTGTTTGGTAAATATTTTTCCAGTGTTTACTCAACACAAAATAATACCCTACCTGTTACCTCAAAACATATTCCTCAATTATCTTCAAGTATAAATAAAGTCGAAATTAGTTTAACTGATGTATTTAATGAGTTATTTTCAGTAAGGGGCGGCGTTGGACCAGATGGAATCGATGCCTTTTTCTTAAAAAAAATGTTCATTTGTTATTTCTCCTGCCATAGTGATTTTATTTAATAATTCATTAAAATTTGGAATATTTCCTGATATTTTAAAATAGACCTATTTCAAAAATTTCACTAGTTGCAAAAATATTCTCAAAAATCATTTCACAAAAAATTACACCCTTGTTTAAAAATGTTCTAGTGGACGAACAACATGGATTTCGAAATGGGAAATCTACTGTCACCAATCTCACAGTTTTTAAGCAATCTGTTATGGA